GGGGGGGGGGGGGGTGGACGGCTCAGGGCTGAAACCTTAAGGGTAGCTACGGCACCAATCGACCAATATCTTGAAGATGCACCAACTTCGTAGAAAGGGATCGATTTTCACCCTTAGGTGAGAGGGTGTCTATATGTCACCCCTAAGCAGCCAGGAAACGATAGCACTTAGGGACACGAGTGTCTCGATACCAGAGGGGGATGATCGGCGACGTAACAACAGTGGCTAAGGGTGGTTTCCCTATACCGTGAAGGAGGGATGATGCAATAAGAGGATGATAATGATAATACGTACTACCTTTCACCCAAGGTAGCATTTTATAACGTTTCTTCAAGATCATCCCTTAGCGCGGGGGGGGGGTGCGGTTGTATGACTGGTGCGTCGGGAGAATATCAACCACCTTCGACTCCAACCCAGTTCGACCCTCCCTCGGTACGATTACAGTCCCGTTTCCTCGGGCGACTTCAAACCACCCTTGCAATAATCTCATGGATTTACGATTCCACTGCGCCCCTACGGGATACTCACGGTTTTCCGCAGAGCCCCCGCTCGACTACCGTCGGTTTCACTTGGGTAATATCGTCACTGCAGGGGCGGAGACACCCTCGTTTCGTGTCTTTAAATTTTTTATTTTACCCAGGGACTATCGTGTTCCACCCGTACGTGTTGGTACGTATGGAAGGCGAGGAGGGGGGGGGTTGATTTAATTGGTCGAGATAAAAAAAAATTTTGAAACCCTATCCCCGCGTCTGATCACATGTATTTTTATTTTCATCCCCTAAACCGTAAGAAAAAATTTGGTCGCTTTGGAGGGTTAAAAAATATTCATTTCAGATCCCTTTGACTCTTTTATACGTTAGCGACGTATGGCTGAAGTGTTGAAAATAGGGGATGATTTTGGTCTAGTTGCGTCTCGTCCGAATCGCCTTGTGTTTGGGATATCTGCTCGAAGCAGATTAGCCAAGTGTGACCGGGAGAATGAAAGGAACCCTTTTCGCCTGAAGTAATGAGGGGTAGCCACCCCCAAGCTTGAGTTTCTGCTTCCTTCGGGAAGATGGGAATTTTTCAATTTCCGGTCGCAGTGCAAACTCGGTCGGATGATATTACGTAGGTCAAAGTGTAGGTGGCGCGAAACTGGACTGGGGGTGGTTCCGTAGTTGGATGTGTGGTGTTATACCGAATGGTTTGGTTGGTGGGTAGCTGAATAAGGGTGGGGTGTAAGTGGGGGGGGGGAGGTGAATGGTTGC